GTTGCCACTGGTGGCTATTTGGTGCTGGCCCTTTTGGACATCATGCCGTTTGAACGTTCCGAGAAATCCAGACATAAAACCAGGACGAGACTCTGACACAAGCTGACGTTGAGTTGTTGGAAGTTAGTTTGCGTTCTTCTTGTGGCTTCCTAACACAACATGGCACATCATGGCACCACCACCTTCTTCTAATCGCCACCTTCTTTGTAGCATCCAACAGCCCCGGCCCCTCAGACTCGTGGCAGGTTGAGACCCGGATCGAGAACATCAACACCTATTACACTCACCAGATTACACAAGTGTGAGACTCAGCAGTCTCCTGGAGAGCGAGGGAACGATTCGTTTGAAAAAGTCTGTGCAACTGCAGAACGTATACCAGTCAAGTGCCAAAGACACTCCTGAGTTTGTCACGAACCTGTCATTAGCAGGTGCCAGCAATGACGAACAAAGCCCAAACGAAAGGTGAAACCTTCACTCCCGTTGCTTTCATCAGATCAGAAAAGGATACCCCGGCAAGTCATCTCACTTTTGGCGGCAACGATCACTCGGGCCTCGATTTGGGCCTCCACTGACTGGTGATTGTTCTTCTTTGGGTCTGTCCGAACATAACATACCTGTAAGAGTCAGTCAACCAGAACATCACTGGAACAAGGCCTCTACTAACTATCATCATCCACTGTAATAGGGTAATCGGATAGACCCAAGTGATTCGGATCGCCCTGCCCTGGTGAGTGGAGTTTCTACGTTCATGTTTGTCGATCGGGGCTTTGAACGGGTGGGACAAATCGAGACGGCGCGGTAGAGTTCACTACGATGAGGATGTGGAAGTTCCGGTTTGGTGAGCACCGGGGGTTCCCAGACATCATGTTTCGCTTTTTGCAGGCATAAGCAAATTGATATTGGTAAGTAAAATACAGCACGTTTCAAGATGTGACTTTTTGTCTTACATGTGACACTGAAGAGCCCCGTAGTTTTTCATGTGGAACCAGGCTGCCAGGGAGTACGGGGACGACGGCTCACAGCAGCTTGGCGCTGGGTCGTCGCCGCATTCAGTTCTTGTGTGTACACTGCTTGAGATGTTGGTCGAAACATGTCGAAACTATGACTCATTATTATATACATTTCTGAATCAATTTGACTGCTTACCAATGTAATGTACAGTAATCAGTTTGACTGCCTAATGTAATGCAATCCAACTACCCCCGTGCATAAAGGATCGTTTTAATGCCTTCCTCGACTAGGTGACGTTGGTTCACTGTTGCGTGGAAGTTCTGGAGAATATGTGGGTGGTTACCACGTGTCTACGCACGAAAAAGCAAGGACTGGTGACTCAGAGGTTCAACGCATCCACCTAGAAGGACAGCCTGTAGTGCCGGGTAGTGCTGGGTATGTTTTCTTAGATCAGCAATGTCAGGATGATTCGGGTTCTGGTAAACTGGCCGAAGATAGTGTTCCAGAGTTCTGGTGGATCCTTTGCCTTGCTTTGCTCCACCTAGTCTTTTATTCTTCCAAGAGCCCACAGACCCCCGGTGGATGTTAGTGGGGCCGCCAGATATAGAGGATCATTCCATGAATGGGGGACCCTCAAAGGCACTTGAGAATGCGACCCGGCGAGCCCTACCAACAGCAGGGTCGTTGATTCCAGAAGAGGCTACAGTGGAGGAAGAGTCCCCCTCTGATCAGGACTTCACTGATCGTAAAAGTGGATCAGAAGAGAAAATAGCTGAGAGATTATTCAAACCCCCCACCCAGGGAATTAGTATTCGCATGTCCGTTTTTCTTGGAGCATCTGCAAACCACTGTAAAACGATAAGGAAGAAAAAAAAACGATAACCCCCGATGATTGTCGTGGAAATCCCTTGGCATGTTTCTATTTGTGGTTTTAGGCTTACGTCCTCACAGAGGGAGCAACAAGGAGTGTCTCCTGGGCCTCCGAAAGAACAGTCCCTGCTCGACAAACAGAGTGTGAACCATCTTCCGTTCTTCAGGGCAGAATCTGTAAAAAAATCCTAGTTGCACCAGGCACCAAAACGATAACAAAACGATAACAAAACCGATAGCGCAGCGAGCCTAAAAGACCTTTGTGTAGGTAGGCCACCACATGTGAGCGCCATGGACAGCAATAAGATCTTCTGTCTGGGGACTCTAGCATGGACTCCAGCATGGGGAATTGTACCTAATGTCTTCATGTCTGCAGGTTCCACACCACATGCACGCAGTGCACACACACATGTATACTACATATGTTACATATGTTACTAGTCAAAGTACTGTAAAACGATAAGAAAGAAAAAAAACGATAACGCCAAAAGTGGTAAGGCAAAAGGATAGGGGGTTTTTATACAACCTCAGCTGATGACGATGTGAAAGAAAGAGGCATCCTATGCTTGTAGATCTGGGAAAGTATCAGTTTGATTTGGGGTGATGGCGTTGGTGTAGGATTTTTAACGTGTCGGATTAAGCAAAAACAAATCCGTGCCGTATGATCGTATGAGAACCTTTCAACTGGCATTGTTTGGATGATTGTGTTCCGAACATTAAGCCGTGCTTAAACTTGGAGGATGTGGTCGGGATATGTCGGGATATGTGGACTGTGGGACCCTCAAAGACACAGGGGACCTCAAAAAAACTAAACATATATATTTTTTGGTGCACTTTGATGCACCTTGCACACTCCGATCACAAAGATTGAAGTGAACAAGCACCCTGTGTGAAGACGACCTTCCATGTTGTTGAGCAGGCTGGATTGGAAGCTTATTTCAGTTGACAGACCCATAGCCTTGCTCGAAAATGAGGCCCAGGGACATGCAGGTTCTGCTGAATCTTTCGGGGTTGTACCAAGTTCCTGCAGCAACTTCGCTGTGATTTCCTGCACAGCAACTACGGCCGTCCATCAGATTCCATCAGTCCCTTCACCCAGTTTTGCAAATCTATGAGGCTGAATGTCTTCAAGCAGAGAGGCGCGCCGGCAGGACGAAGGGGTTACGGGAGCATGATGAGCCCATGATGACCCACTATGCTCCAAAATCCGAATGATTTTTAGTCTCAGACTACGCACCGATTATGGTGCAGAATTGGCCCTCCACCTTCATGGCCCGCACATGGAGCTAACAACAAACCTGCTTGTAATAGCATCTCAAGCAATGCATCAGCAAATCCACACAGTCTCAGTCAGTCATAGATACGGAGCAACGCGGGAAGCTGTTGGAGACAGAGAAAAAACAACGCATTGTTCACCTATGTAGGTACACTTGGGCTCACTAGTCATCATAAGCTTTGCCCTGAATAATGTGTTCGCGCCAATCGTTCTGCCAGAAGAAGAAATGTTAAATCAGTCGGCTGCCTTGGCGCGAAGCCTCAGAAGTGGCGTCAAAGTGGTGGTCCCTTCGATCAAACCACTTCGAAGAAAGGGCAGCGATACGGAAGAGAAATGGTTTTGAAGATGGTTTGAAGTGTGTGTATAGTCTTTAAGTTGAGCTTTCTAGGTCCGTCAGGTTTCACAGCCAGCTTGGTCACTCGCAACAAAAGGGCAAGTTTATGGGAATGAGAACTCGTTTCTACGAAAGCTGTGACCGGAGACAAGCTGATGATGCTTGAGACATCTGGAGTTCTGGAAAAGAGCTCCTTCCCAAGAAGAGCACATAATTTTCTCAACATAAACCTCCTTATTTATATGTATATAGGTAACTTTATAAATATAAATATAAATATATATAAATATCGGTTCATGTTGAGATATTATTGAATTGTTGCGACATATATATATAGAGGTTCTTATTGGTGAATCGAACTGCAGTGTTTTCGATGTATGGTCACATGGCATGCCTTGGCATCGTGCAAAGTTTGAGTTCGTTCCACATTCCACAGGCCGATGAATCACACGATTTCACCGTTTCAATACGGAGCTCTCCGTATACGGGAGACAGACTGACGACCTCAGACCGCCGCAGGCTGGCTTGCTTGCTGGTGCATTGGGCATGGTAGTGGCCTGGTCTCCCCAGTTGTCCGGCGATCGGCAGCTCGTTCACGTGGCAGCTCGTTCTGGTGGGCTCCAAACAAGGGGCTCCAAGGGCTGGATGCTGAGTCGTTTTCATCATACAGCCCGAACACAAGCCAACGACCTCATTTACTTACGCAGTTGGTCACACAAACACAACTACTACTCCAGGAGGTCAAGCAGGTTTCATTTTTCATACTTGACTTGACGCTCTGAGTCGTTGCTGGGTGCTTGTTTAGAACTCCGATTCCTTGGCTTGCAACTTTTTTGGCACTCTTTGCACTGGGAGCTGGGGAAATGACGCTGCCAGAGCTGCTGCATGGCAAAATCTCAATTTTTGATCCAACTATTGTCGTCATGGGATTTGTGGGAAGCCTGCCCCCGAAAAGGATACAGAAACCTGAAAGAACATAGGCTCCAAGCAAAAACCAAGAAGCAATGATGCAAGAAGTTAATGTAAAGACCCCCTTCCAGTCACTCCTAGGATCATTGGGCATGTTTGTTTATTTCTCATTGTGTCACAATTTTCACTTTGCGAATTGCCCCCTATTACATAAACTGTTTGTTCTGGCTTGTTGCTGTTTTGGCTGTTTGGCTTCCCTTTTTCGATCTAGTCCCTTTTGTTTTCCTTTTCAAGTCCTTTCCTTGGTTTTCTGTTTTCCATTCTCACTAAATACATATATACGGCATATTCGCAGTCATATAAGCATGTACTGTATACATATACCGTATATATACTATGTTTTTCATAGCGCAAAAGCTTATCATTATACAACAACAGTTGAATAATCTTCCTGCATCTTCCTGCCATCTCCTTGTTTACTTTACTTTCTTGATTTTTCTTGTCATTGTCCACTGGATGAGAGTGACATGAGATTTAGACTAAGGAAGCCTCATTGATTCGATGTCATTTGGAGATCCCTCTGAACTTTTGGATCGGGCAATGGCGGGTTCCTATTCCACCATTGATTCATCTCGCCCTCTCGCCCTCTCGCCGAGCCCGATGCCCAAGCGACGCCAAAAGATTCGGAATTCGGAGATCACGCCCGCTGTGCCAGGTCCTGATCGTCGTGGTGCTCCTCCTGGTTCGGAGACGCCGTAGGGAGCAGGACACGCCGCTCGGTCCGTGAAATGGCCGAGCTTTTCGTGCTGAGCTCGGTGGAAAGAGCTTTTGAATCACCACGAGGCCAAGACAAGGTTTACATCATGTTGCATCCCTTAAAATTCACATAATAAATATGGACAGCACGAGAAAGATCGGGAAAGGGTGTTTGGATGTGTTGGACCGTCCCTTCGATCGGGCGGTCTACAAGTCTACCAGCTCTTGGAGGGCCACATATTGATGTGGAATTTTGACGGGATTGGATGCAATTTGGTCCGCATCGTTGTGATGGGTGAGATTTCGACCCCCAATGCCACATATGTTCCGTCAGAATATTCCCACAAGCAGACAATTCTACTCGTACAAGAAGCTGTTCAAGGATGCAATGGATATCAATGAGTATTGTATGTTACATGGTCATCATGGTTGAATATGTTAGTTGCAAGTTAGATTTTGTTCCATTCTCTCAGGCAAGAGGAAAAGCCAGCAGAAAAGATGTGGGTTTTCCTGATTCTTTGAGTTTGGAGAGTGACAGTTCTGTGGGCCTCGTGCTCTCCCATTCACCCCTGTGCGTACCATTCTGTTTCATTCTGTTTCCACTGTTCGGGCCATCACTGAGGGTACGAGCTGAAAGTGCAATATCGGTATGAGCTGAATCGTGGAAGATCGGCACCCAGCGATGTTTCAGGGGACCCGCATCATTAGACCAAGGGTTGATGCGTTCCTTTTCCAGTCAGCCGACCGATGTTCTGGAGATCAACCCACAGCCGACGCTCGACACGAAGAGCCGAAGAGCTCTTTAGTTGGGAACGAGGCCTGTGACAGTCATCGGGCAGAACGAGACAGTGGTGATCGGAAGTTGGCGGACCCAGTCCATCGATGCATGGTCAGTCGTGATCAGAAGCTTCGCGACGTCTCCCCTACCTCGCCAGAGAGATGGGAGGTGGACAGTTGCGGAACCAAAGATGGAAACATGGCGAATGGCGGCCAAGGAATCCAGAATTTCAATGCCCATGATGGGCCCGTGTTCTACCTCAGACTTTGGTCAGGTCACCTCCTCAAACTCTTGATATGCATACATGAACTATCATAAACTTGGTCACTATGCTGAGGCTCACCAGTGCATTGGTGCCATATTTGGCAACTGTTCATTCACTAACCTCCACGATCCACAACTACCGACCTTGTGTTGTCCAGTTTGGGGTCCTATGTCGAGACTTGGCTCTTTCCTGGGAGGAACAACGTGGCTGCGGCATACATATTTGTAGGGTGTGCGCGGTCATTTTACCATGAGCAATTGAGTCTATGGCTACCCTTCCTGCAACGTGAGTAAGTAAGTTCACCGTCTTGTCCGCCCAGAGGAAGGTTTGTCATTTATATATATATATATATCCATGTTCCACTGAACCATGTTAGCAAGATGGAGGCTGTGTGATTGGCATCATCACATGCAATCCACATTCGTGAGCTCATACACTGTTCCAGCATTCCAAGATTAAGAGGCAATGGTATTCACTTAGTTTAAGGTGCTGTGCTTTTGAATTTAAATACGACTGTCATGTCATGGGTAAATCAGATGAACCCGAGGTTTTAGACGTAACAGCCCTAGCTTTGGGCCTTGAAACCTGCTTTGCTGTGGTGCGTGCAGCAGACAGCCCGCCATCATCTAGGCCCTGTTCCTCTAACAGGACAAGTGACTGCTGCGACCAAAGAGGATGCCCTGACCTCAGCCATTGGGTTCTGGGTCGCCATGAACTTTTTGGTAAGCGTTTCCCAGACTAAAGCAGATTATGTTTAGAATGTTTTGGTAGAGCCACGGCCAAAGCAGATTGTGTTTCTCAAAGAGGGTGCAGAACTTTGGCCTGGAAGGTAAACTCCACAGCCTGATAGAAAGGGAATCAGAACGACCAATCATGACTTTCCGGAATTAACAGCTTCAATTCCTTACCCTCAGCTGTACGCCCAGGATTTCCAACAGAGAAAATAGGGTTTGCACAGCTTTTGCCCTGAGGTTCGAGGTGCAACTAAATTGCTGCCAAAGCACCCCTAACATCCCCTAACTAACATTGATCCTTGAAAGTGCATTAATTTGTTTATATGTGTCATCATTCGTTGTTTCTTGATTCATGTTTGTTATTGGGTCATAGGACCAATAGGAACCTGCTTAGCTGTACGGGTCGTAGCTCTAATGTTTGAGCACCAGACACCAGATAAGTCCAACTTCTGTGACTCCATTGCTCCTTGTGTCGGCTCTTTTTCACCCACCAGACGTCGTTGGTGCCCGACGGTCGTGGCCCAACGTCGAGTACAGAGAGGTCTACCTTTTTTTTACCGTTCACGGTCTACCATACGATCGCCAAACGAGCACCAGTTTGGGCGATCAACGGCATTTAGTCGAATGCATTGTTTTAAAGGTTTTGAGTCACTGGGTATCAAAGAAGACTCACATGATCGGATTGGTCTAGAGGAAATTATAGAAGGAAGGCATTTCGATTTTGCGCTGGCGGGAAGACAGGATACGGAATGAAGGGTGGAAACAAGAAAGACACATTCAAAAATTTTGGCCGCATGGGGTCAAAAGATGTCATTCTTTGTGCAGGCTAGAAGGACAATGTAATGTGGGTGTTCATTGAGATGTTTGTATTGTTCAAATCTTTACAAGCAGCAATAGCGGGGGATGTATGTTTATACATAAACCATGTTTTAACAACACAGTACATTTGTAAAGAATTCAGATTCACCCACTTTTCAGAGTGATTTGTTCCTTCATCTCATCGTTCCTCACTGTGCCATAAACCCCAAAGAGACCTAAACCCTAAACAGAGACCTAAGAAGTCACTGCAGCGTCACGTTCGTACGAAGCCATCGCGTCCGCTCTTTTGGAACAGAGGGTCGGAACCGTGACCGAGGGCGTGGTGGATGGAGCTGCAGTGACTGTGCGCCTGGGCTTTTCGGTAGATGGGGTGGAAGAGAACAAACACCAAACAAAGATCAGTGAGAAGGAAAGAGTTGCTTTAAACAAACATTATATAGACCTGAGAATAGATAGAACATGATAGAAAAGTAGATCAGTAGATCACACTACTAATGTATTGGACATCGTTTCTATCTATTTGAGGACCACCATAAGATTCCTTTCCATTGAGTCGGGTGATTTGGGGTGAGACGACTCGATCCAAGAGGTGAGACGACTCGATTTGGGCAGCTCACTGGGCTCGGACTGGCTTGTGGTTTCCATATCGCTTGCTACGGGGGCTACTCCAAGCTCGGCTGCGCTCAGGACTTCTTTCGGCAGAAATTCGACTAATTCATCAAACCATGCCGAAGCTCCACATCACAACAGGAACATGTACATTGGATTGCATTGGGTATAATCGCACTAGATTTACAGTTGATTCTTGAGTAGATATTGAGATTCATTTGGACTTTGCCCTCAGAGCCTTCAGTGTGTCATAACAGACCTGGAGGATGCGGGACCTTGAGTGTGTCCTTTGGCCGAAGATCAGTTTCAGCCAGGTCGGGGCCATTTGCGAGAAGAATGCGCAACTGCACAAACTCCGGACAACTACTTGAGGTCTAGATTTTCACGTTTGTTCTCCTGGCCGCTTGGGATTGTCATCCGTTGAAGCGCTTCTGAGGTCGGCCCCAGCCAGAGCCGGCAAGGCTCCTTAAAGGAGCACTGCTGTGGGTCCTGTGCGTGTGGGTCAGTCCATGGGTTCACCGGGTCAGTCAATCCCCCTCAGCAGCATGAACCGCAAGGACCCAGCATGCGGAGAATTGTGAGGACCCTATAGGCCCTATAGGCCGCCAACCTAAGAGCGATGGCCAGATTGGCACGCTACACGAGCCTTGGTCTTACGAACGAGTTCGGTTAGTGGGTATCTACAGGAGAACTCAACACTAATTAAAAGTTCATTAATGGATCTAAGTTATGTAGCATGAAAATGAATTCCAGCAACGCGTCAAAAGTGGTTGTTGCCCATATGCGCGCTCCAGCAATGAATTAGGGCATGGAGCTGGTTCACTACGGCAACTTAGTCAAGCGAAGCGAATCTAGGGAAACTAGTTCTTTGCCTTAATAAACATCTCCGTACCTTGTCCTGAATTTTAAACCGTGCGATTGAATGGGAGTTTCAGGGCCCGATGCAGTGATAAGAATAGGCTCTTCTGAGAAGGCAGTTTCAAAGGATCATGTGTGTGGTACGGTGGCCTAATGTCAAGAGACAATGTATAATCCTGCAAAGCCTTCATAGTAGCTTCCGGCCTTGGCGCAATGGGACAGCACGATTTTCCGGAGCAGTATGTGTTGCCAAAACCCATGGCATAAGAAGGCCTTTGCACTTTTATTGGACATACTGTGCCATCAGGAGGGCCTCATGACAACGCTTCTGGGTTTCTGCTATTGGTTCACCAAGAAATTGCCCAGGAGTAATCATACTAACATCTGGACATTTCTGGGCTATCCATAGCTTTAGCCTCAGTTTTCCCCGTGGACTGAACCCATCGAGTCTCCATCGGGTGAACATGAACTGATCCACATCGCTCTTATAGGTTTTGTGCCGCATACCCAAGAGCTTCCAGCAGTTCATGCAAGACTACCTTTGGATGCAATTTGTTTGCAGGAGGCATCCCAGAGATTCTCCAAATCAATCAAGTTAGGGGGCTCCAACTGCCTACTCAGAAGGCATGTCGGACCGCTTAGGCTTAGACCCTATGCCGTAGAGAGGGTTCTTTTTGGCATGTTTGCCGCCAAGAACTTTGCGGGCGAAGGCCATTCCAGGGTGTTTGCTGTTTTCTGGTGGATTAGCACGAACTCCATGGCACTTGCATGGGAACTATGAGGTGTTAGGGAGAAAGGTGGAGGACTAGTAACAGTGGTCCCGAGGTAGCGGAAAACCTGTGCCCTGTGTCAGGCCCTGTGTAATGCATTTTTTAGAGGGCTTGGTCCCACCATCGGGTTTAAATGCTTCTCAACATGTACTCGATCACAAAAGATCCTCACCCTCTAGACTTCATGCAATTGGGCATGCTCAGCTGCAGATTGTAGACTGTCTTCCCGAGCCTGGCCTTTTAGTCTTCCTAAGTGTTGGTGAACTGTCAGAAGTTTGCTCAAGTCTTCGCGGCAGGATGCTTCCGCTTGCCGCAGCAGAAAGGGGCACAGAAGAACCCCAGATCTAGTTCTGAACTTCTGGACCTGCTTTCCGGGCACAAGTCAGGGGGATGCGGGGTTGGATGTCCATCGATGCCCAAAACTCCGGCAGAACCTTCACAAAGGTACCAAAAATGACATGTTTGATACCAAGCACCAAGACCCGACAGTCTTGCCAGGGGTAGACGGTCATGGTGATGGTGATTGGTTTGTTAAGCTCTTCATGTTTGCCTGTCAGCTTACGACATCATTTGCATCGACTTCCCACGAAAGCGGCTAGCACCAAGAGTAGTAAACATTGTGAGTCATCATGATGTTTATCGTCACCATCGGCAGCTCTTTTTTTTGTGTCTCTTCGTCTTCATTACCATCACTTCCATGATGGTATCTGAGAATTTGACAGGTCCACAGAACAACCACAACCATTTCTCGGGAGAACCCTTTTGCTCATCTAACTGCAGTACTCCAGGCAGAGAATTTCAACGAGCAACACATCAGCAATCAGACCGATTCATATGCCCTATGGATCCACATACTCTTTGAGAAGGTGATTGGATTATTTTTTGTAGGCTTATTTTCTGAGAAGGTATGTCGATCCCTACGGATGTTCAGCGCAATTCCTTCTCATGTCACAAAATCCCCCGTCCCCCGTCGCCGTTCCATGGCCCAACAAGAGTGGCCTGGCCCAGCTTTAGTGGCGGGTGTCAAATGCTGCGTCAAGCGTTTGATATAATAGATAAAACACACACACACACACACATATATATATATATATCATATATATATATATATATGTGTGTGTGTTTTCTGGTGGTTGTAAATTTAGGATTTGAAGGTTGTGCGAGGGTCAAGAGTCTTACAGCTAGCATGCATTGATCAAATCTCGCCAGGTGAGGGTCTCTAGATGTTGTACATGACATCATGAACAATACTCAGTTCAGTTCAGAACACATGGCACTGATCTTTGGAACGCATGGAACATATGGAGATCGAACAGATCGATGGGAGAACGTGTTGGAACATGATGCCAGACATGATGCCAGAATAGATGTCAAGTGGACATGTCAGAACAGCTTGGCAGAATAGATGCCTCATTGAATATCAGAATCGGTGCAGAACAAACGTTGGGGCACATGTCGAATCAACGTCCAGAACAAATGTCAGGACATATATCAGAAAACATATGTGAATATATATATATAGATATTATATGTCAGAACACAACTGGACTTCACGCCTAAATGCATGTCAGAATATACATGAACATACGTAGTTATGCCAGACTTGATGCTTGAAAATGTGTCCAGAGCAGATGCCGGAACAAATGTCAGGACACTTGCAATATTTTGAGCATAACTGTGTGCATGGATATGAAAACAATTGTTACCTCACATGCCAAACTTGGTTTCCTGAACTTAGATGTCAGACAGAACATATGCAAGAACAGAACTAATGGCAGAACATATGCCAGCTCATATGTTTAGCAGTGCGCCAGACCTAGTCAACACAAACACATTGTGTTTTCTGTTTCCCCGGACTTCGCCTTCACTTCCCGTTCCCCATCACATGGACGTTTCCCCACAAACTCGAGCTTGAGGCATTTTCGCGTTGGGCCCCGCCCATGTCACTCAGCGTGGCGAAGCTCGATCGTTACGCCCTCGAGATCCCCCCTTTGAGCCATGAGGGCACTCGCAAGGGTGTTCCACTCGCGCCTTCCGCTGAGCGGAATGGGGAGGAATGTTCGCGGACGCGTACGTGCGCGCAAGTGACGGAGACCGAGCTTGACAGAGTTAAAGACCTTGCGAGTGGCCAGGGTGAAGAGGGAAGACGGCATGTGCATGTGCCGTGATAGGCCATGTCAAGATGTTTTGTCCGACAGTTTGTGGTTTCCTTCTCCAAAATGAGACCATGCTTGGGCTAGACAAATTTTACAAAGGCATGCCAGGTTGTGGCAACACTGCAAAATGTCCTGCAATGCACAGGGTTTCCTCACAGTCCCCAAGAACTGAACTCGAAGAGACATGAAAAGAGCGAAGGCTAAGAGACCCTTTCTAAGGTTTGACACATGCACTTTGCTAAAAAGTGCGCTAAAGAGGATTTATTTATGTCCTTGGTGTCAGGATGTGTAAGCAATCCATCCGTATCCTCACAAGGTGGGACCGATCCTCCAGTCCACCTCCATCCCAGCCGGACATCGGCTCGAGCCTGTCCTAGTGGCACATCTCGCGATGACGCAGGTGCGGTGGAACGGCACGGTGGAACTGCTCAGAAATTTGACATGACTTCACCTCAAAATCCCTGACAGCTCCAGATTCGGTTGGAGGCCATCGCTAGCAGGTTGCAGGGCAGTTCTTCTAGGTTGGAGGCCATTGCTTCACCTGAGGGGTCCCTGACATCTCCAGGTTCGGTTGAAGGGCATCGCTAGTAGGTCGGAGGCCATCGCTAGGTCCGCTAGGCCATGGCTAGTAGCTAGGTGGGAGGCCATCGCTATTAGGTTGGAGGCCATGGCTTCTAGATTGGATTCCATTGCTTCACCCGAGGGGTCCTGACTTCTCCAGATTCGGTTGCAGGCCATCGCTTATTAGGTTGGAGGGAGTGTGTTTTTTCATGTTGTTTTTCTGTAATTACCGTTGCATGCAGTTGGAGCGGAACTTCTTTCACCTGCGTTTGATTGGAGGTACGGTAGGCACTTGGGTGTCAAACGAAAGCGAACTGATTTGGTTTACGATCGGGAGAGTGTCCATTACACCTCTCCCAGACACTTAATGTATGGAATATTAAAACATATTAAGTATATATATATATTGTCTACATATATTTTATGATTCCAAACTAGTATAATGGGACGTAATACTACAAAGTGTTCTCATGTTCTATCCAAATTATTCACACACCGTGATTAGTTTAATGGGACGGATTTAAAAATAAGTCTTTTCACCCAGTGGTGTTCTTTAAAGAATTCTTGATTAATTTGTCTACTCTATTGCTATTGTTGCCCTTCTAGAACAACTACCTACCACTGCTGCTGCTGCTGCTGCCACTGCCACTACTTTTAAATACCACTACGACTACTACTACTACTACTACTGCTGCTTCTACTGCTACTGCTACTGCTACTGCTGCTGCTAGCACTGTAGTACTAGTATTAGTACTAGGTTAGTAGTAGCACTAGTACTAGGATATTATATAGTAGTAGTAGTAGTCGTCGTAGTAGTAGTAGTCGTCGTCTTAAAGGGCAGCAATAGCAGAGCAATATCAACAAGTAATTGATGTTTTTTTCCTATGGCTCCCAGTTACCAATCACAAAACAAAACTACTACTACTACTACTACTACTACTACTGCTAATTACTACCACCGACTTGCCGATTAAGATCCAACATTATGTGACATGTGCTTCAAATATATTTTGCCTACATTGACCCCTGAAGACTTTGATGTAGTTAAATACAGTAATTAGTTGGCTAGTTAATTATTACTTATATCTATATACATTTATATGATGTTACTGTCATTGGTGTTTGGGTCTTACGCCACTTGCTCCAACGCAAACATAAAAGTTGTATAAGTGAGTAGCCTTCCCACAGCCATCCACTTCCGATTTTTTGATAGATGGCAGATCTGGGGGGAACGCAGTCAACTCCAGCCCCAGGCTGCAGAGTAAAATTGGAGTGAAGAAAAGTGTTGTGAATAAGATTGAATAACACACACGCACTCGAGCTTAATATGTTTGCTCAAACTGGTTGTTGATATTTTTATATGCGCCACTGGACTTGACCCCTTTTGCACAGTTACATTGTGTGGGTGTACCACACGCAAGGAGTTCAATTGGCCGATGTTTGCATTCCCACGCCGCAACGTGGCACTTGCTCTCACTCTCTTCCAAAGAACGTTGCTCCGGTCCGGTCGGGGCCAGGCGAATTGTTCTCCTCAAGCGACTGAGGAGCGGATTCGCTCGAGTCCGCTGCACTCTCCGTGTTTTCCATGTTTGGGTGCAGGGCGAACGAAGTAACTCGCAAGTTGGACCCTGCGAGCCCACTCCAAACACCCTGCTAGGAGGCTGTTGGCATGGGTTGTAGCAAGTTGCTATATGACATCCCAACACTGACAAGGTGAACTTCCACTTCTTTGCTGTTTTGCCTTGCCGGTCAGGCCAGAGGTTCGTGAACTCTAATCGCTTCCCGAATAAGATCGAATAAGGAACGAAGAGGTTAAGGAAACTTGGCATCACTCGGGACTCAAAATAGGGACCCCCGTCAAAGGGGTTCAACTTTGGACCCCATTCCCTGCGACTCAAACTTCATTCGGTGAGACTGGTAGTTAGTGCGTTAGACATCGTTAGACCCCTGAACTCCCACAGGCTGAACCTCAGGAGGCACAGCCCAAGGGATTTGGCATGGTTTGTAGATGCTCCAGCACCTCCTTTGTTCCACGGTTTCCGCGGTTCGGCCGCCTGTTTCACCCTCCTGGTGTCCTGATTAGCTTGGTCACCGAACGATTATCTCACCTTTTCCACAGGCTCATTTCCGCTAAACCGTTGACCCACCTTGGTGTCCGTCCGGTGGCGTCCGGGTCCAGGAGCTGTGTTACTTTTGCTTCAAGGTCTTGCTTGCCCAGCAGCCCAGAGGGTCCAGGGGTCGAGAGGCCATCGCTATTAGCTTGGAGGCCATCGTTAGAGTGAATATTTATCAACATGTGCGTTATGTTTGTCTAATTTTTTGGTGCAGCACACCCCATATTAAATAGAAGGCCCGCGGGTACGCCTATACTTTCCAACTTAGTGGGCGCCTATGCCAAAAGCTTGGCGATGCCATCGGAACTCGGAACCTTCAGAGGGCCACCAGCACATTTTTGGACAATGAAGAGTTTGCCACTTGGCCTTCACAATGTATGTATATTTATATAAGGTGTATATATATAATTGTATATATCGAGCCTTTACTTGGCCTTCACAATGTTTTGTTATAAGGTGTAAATATATATATATATAGTTAGCTATCGGCGAGGCGTTGTAGCATAGACAAATCATTGCACATCGCAACAGCCATTGTTGTGGCCAAACCCAGCAACGCTGCTTCGCCAAGAACGCACGGCCTTGCGTGACAACTCCCACACGAGAACTCGCACCCGGAGTCAAATTGGATTGAACATGTGCCTAACTTATCTACTGTAGTTAAAACCCATTTGCCAATATTTGGCCTGGAAACAGGACCTTGCCATGTCCAGACCATTCATGTCGGAAGCCATTGTTTGGACGACAATTTGAAACTGGCATTTGTCTCCACTGGTTAGAGGAATGAGTCACGCTTTTGACTTACACCTACAGCACAGGTGTTTGTTGCATTTGCTCGTTTTAAGGCTCCTGTGTTTTTTGTTTTTTAACGTTTGCTTTCAAGGATATACATATATAATATATGTTTGTTATTTCAAAACCACCCCTCAAAAGGCAAGTGGGGTATGTAAAATGTTGTTTTAAAGCTATCCATCGCTATCCCCCCACCCAGGAAGACAGATACCAAGTAGAGAACTGTCCCTTTTTCCCCATCAAATCTTGGGAAGCTGTTCTGTTTATTCGGCCGTGAAGCTTTTCACGATCATGTCAGCAATTGTGGGAAGGCCGACCCCGCAGAGCCATAGCGCCACAGCTGGATGGTGCTTGACTGAGGCGAAGCTGCAGGGGAAGCCTTTGCCCTCTCAGTCTGCGCTACGCCTGGACTCCCAGCTGCGACCGGTTGAATGACCGTGCTGCATGGTGTTAACACGTGAAAGTGGCTGAACACCTACAGTTTTCAACTTTAAAATCAATCCATAGTTACACAGGTTGGGAGCTCATTTTCAATATGGTTCAATCAGTGTCATTGTCAGTTTTCTATTTTCTTTTTGTCACTCTCTTGTGTTATCTTGTTGTTTATTTTTCTTCTTGGTGTCACGAAATGTTTTTTTTCTTTTTGGGTGCTATGTTCTGGAAGATGTATGACATGCTCGAAGTGAGGCTATTGCCAAAGTAGGCACAAATCGTTGCATCCCAATCTGACAACATGATCAGCTGGCTCATGCCATTTAGTCCCTCTCACTTTGCTTGCAAAAAGAGACAGTTGTTTGTTGTGTGGTTCAGATCAAAATGAGCGGAGCACGGATTGGACCATAAGATCAGCCTTGCCAAACCAGGAGTGATGGAAGATCGGGTCCAGTCGTAGGTTCCCCACCCCAACATCCACTCGTCCGGTTCACTCTTCCGACGTCCACTTGCTCAAAAGTGCATGTTTGAAGAGTGGCCGAGTTTGTAGCCAACAACTGGAATCTTGCTTCATTTGCACGTTGCTAGCAGGATGTTCTATAGTTGTTTCTTCGCAGGTATATGATCAACAGATGCGATCAGAGAACTTTGAGACCCAGGTGTGTGCTGGGATGCTCAACCAGTGCAGGCCTGACTGAAGGGTTCAGAACATGTCAGAACCCCTGCTGGCATGGACCAAATATAGGTTTTGCATTGGTGGACAGCATCATCACCGCCACCTCGATTCCTTGATGTTGCGGATCAGGGTGTCAATGCTGCAAGCAGTACATTTTTGTCGGGGGCATGTCCAAAATCAATGGTTTATTGAAACCTGGGTTCTACATGTTTCAGAGAATTTGCGTGTCTCTAAACGTGATGTTGCCAGAGCCTGGTAGACATTCTATAGAGATTTTTTACGTGTGATCATCACAAGTACCTAGGCCTTGGTAGCCATTTTATAGAGAAGGGGTGTGGAATTCAATCCAAAAATGTTGGACATTTGCGTTACGCAACTGCGAGATTTGAACTCCGCGCGAGATGTTCCAAAAAAGTTGGAACATCAATGAACATCATAAATATGTGTTTAAACATATGAAGATCAAAGAAAACAATGTACAATCTTCGAGGGTAATTTGTTGTTGTCATTTGAGCAATTTTCTCAGAACATCTCAGAGCCTGGTCCATTTCATAGAGAAATTTTGGTGTTCGTTGGTACAGAAACGTTTTACCTGGATTCTGCATTTTATAGAGTTGTTTTGTACCCCCGATGGTAATCAGTTTGACCTGGTTGCTGCATTTTATAGAGAGATGAATGAAATGTTCCTCAAGAGTTTTCATGGACCCTTGAAGCGTGGTTTACTTTTATGTATGTGCCAGGCGCTGCATTGTGTAGAGTTTGGTAGGTGGACACCCCATTCTATAGAGCATATTTCTCGATAAGATGCCTGGAACACCCCCCAGCCCACCACCCATGGGGGATCATGGGCCAAGTTGTTGTTTTGCTGAGCTGGCCGTAAGTGATGTTTGTTGTGACTCACGTTTCCTTATATCCCTGAAGATCCTGGCGAGAGTCAGATGGTGACATGATCATGGCCCGCTCCTCGCCACGTCCACGTCCGGGCTGGCAAAAGCCATGCCCATTGCCATATGCATCCCGCATCCCTCATAAAGTTGTGCTTTTTTTTTTTTTTTTTCGCAGGCTGAAGCCTTTGGATTTATACTTCAACCCATTATCATATTTTTCAGGGGGTCTACACCGCAGTCACCGCAGGCCTCCTTATTCTAACGACCTGAGTGACCATTGTCAACATGTGATGCTTGCGTGAACATGTTCAATGATTTTACTGTGCTGAGAATGGCTTGCTTCACCGGCTTCACCTCAGCAAACATTTTGTACTTGTAATACATGATAATGCATTACATGAGACAAAGGCATTGCGCCATTGCGTTTAAACAAAACACGGGGGCACAAGAGCCGAAGAGGCTTGGATTTGCTTGCTTTATGTTAACCACTTAGCATAACTCTAATGGTGTTGCCAAAAAAAGAAGCAACTAAAACATGTAAGCAAAGCAAACACGAAAAACTATTAAAACCAAACAACAAATCCAATAACAGAAATGAGCAAATGAAAATGCAAAAACACAAAACAACTGCAAATCCAAAAAGCAAGAAAACTGCAAATAAAAACAACAAACAACAAAAAACACATACAGTAACAGAAAAACAAAAGCCACCGAAAGGCCCCAAAACAGACCAAAACAACAATAAAAAAATGCAAAGCGAAACAACAAGAGGCAAACAACACATTTAAAAACAAAAAACAACAAACAATCAAACAACATGCGGGGGGTGAAACAAACATGGAAACAAAGCGAACAAAAAGGACGCCCCCCTTTAAAAAAACAAAAAAAAACAACAACAATGCGAAAACACAGCGCAAAAGTAGGACACCATTTTGTATTTTCATGTGTTTGTTTTTCTTGTTTGATTTGTTTGTTTTGTGTCTTTGCCTCTTAATTTGTTCTTTTGCTGTTTGGAGTTGTCTTGTTTTGCTTTTGCTTTTAATTTGTTGTTTTTTCTTGATTTTTTGTTGTGTTTTTCAAGATTATCAGAGTTAGCCTGGGTCCGGCGATCATAATGCTTGCTTGTTCATCAAACAATGGTTTCTGGCTATCGTTGCACATGAACACAGATGCCCTGTGCTGTGGATAGGCTCGAACATCTCATTTTCTCACGAGTCCAACCCCACATGGTGTCTAGTCTAGTGTGTTCAGCTTCGGGAGAAACGACACCCAGACACCACTCAGCGCCGCGGACGCAGCTTTTCAGCACCCCAAGAGATGGACGCACTTCAGCACCCCTGGCCACGATGGGAATGAACGGTTCGAAGGTCTTTTCGGTGAATGCTCCAAAGAGGGATTTCAGACCATCCATTTCGCTGAACTTCTGTCCATATACATATATATATATATATATACGCACACATGAATTTACATGTCATTCACTGGCAGTGAGCCAAATAACTGTGCCCACATAAGGCTTAAAAACCATTTCTGTCGTATTCTCCACTGCAGCGCAGTGGCTTCTCTGCCAGGTCCCTGGCCTTTTCGTGGGTTGGCACACTGGTCCCAGTGGTCTCCGCGGATGCACGGGAGGGCGTTTCATGTGGTTGGACCCCAAAATCGGCTCGGTCAGGGCGATTGATGTGGGAAAAAGTTGAGGTGTTGGCTTGCAGTGCATATGCACTTGAAAAAGCAGTGGTACAGTCCACGTTACATCACGTGACCAAGAAGGAAACGCATCCTGCATAAGACTCCCCATGTGTGCATGAACCCCATGCTTCCGAAGCATGCTTCCGATTCCTAGACCCTCTTAAGTTGTTGTAACTCAAGACATGAGTGGTCATTTGCAATGAGGGGAGTTGCACATGTGTGGGTCATGACATTGGATTTCCCATGTGGGTCATGCCACGTGTGATGTGCCGATGTCTTGTAGGCATGGGCACCTTGAAGCCCGTGGAGCTCCACCGTCGGACGTGCTCAGCCCGTGGATCAAAAAGCGAATCACACGACATATGTGATAGAACATGTGGTGGATACCATGTTGATTCTAATATATATATATATATCTATATCCCAGGATCTTCCCGCAACATTACTCCAGCTGTGGTCGAAATAGCAAGTTCATGTTGCGCGGCTATTGAAAGGTTGAGGCCCCTGGAATCGGAGAGAATTTGGTGAACTTTAAAAATCTATTCTATTTATTTCTAATAGCTTCTTGCTCCTAGTAGCAAGGCCAGGAGCCCCGTTCGTAGCGTCCTTGTTCCTAGTAGCGATGCCCAGTCGCTCCTAGTAGCGTCCTTGTACCCTGGAATCGGAGAGAATTTCAGAAGAAGGGCAGTGGCGGCAGTGGCCTGGGTTTTATGGCCTGCAAAAAGGCAGGCAACATGTGGAACCTCCATCACCAAACACACCGTCACGCGGGCACCGCAACGGTCATCCATGCCACGGTCACCGGTGCGAATCAGGGGGCCTCTCGGACTATGCGCTCCAAAGCGCCCTCCATGACCTTCGATTTTCGCCCATTTCACTGAAAGAGGCGCTCTCTCCGGAGGTTTTCGGCGTGGCGTTGAGCGTGGGTCAAGGGCAGGTCACCGCGGACAGAGCAGGTCAATGGCAGGTCACTATGACCATGTGGACTCCAAAAAAGATACAAACAATTAGATAAACACATCAACATCAATGACCAAAGTTCATGAACAAACTAAATTGCTGGTGGTTAGGAAAGAGGTGAGGAGTGTCTTAGGACTTCTTAGGGAATTCTGGTTCACCCATGGGCCAGTATGTGCTAGTCAGACACGTTATTTAATTAAGGCTATATGCGTCGGAGGGCAAATTGCATTAGTGAGTCTGAACAGACTTAAATAGCAAGGGAATGGATAAATGTACAGGGAAGGGATTTCACCCAGTGCTTGTGGACAGGGCTTGGACAAGCAGTTGGAGCCCATGACCGTGTTCGTTTAATGAAGTGGGTGTAGAACATCTCGGCGCCTTGAAAAACTTGTTAAGATAGCATCTCAGGAGATGTGACGACCCAATATTCCCAAGAGACAACTCGCTTCAGATGCGCGGCTTTGCGTGCGCCAAACAAGTGCATCACTTTCAGGTGAAGATGTTGACGTGCCGAGTGTGCCTGGGCGAGTGGGAAATCACCCTGACGGTTCGTTCTAAGACACGGTGAATCCCATAAAGTCTCATCAGACTTCCCAACGGTTTCCCAACTGAATTGCTATGGCTATGTTTGTCCTGAAGCCTCCATTCCACGCAGTCTGTGGCCTGAGTGTGGCTGCAGTTTGTGGGCCCGTAAAGCTTGGAGTTGCTGCCGCTCATGCACACTCACTCCAACTCACTGGTGCATTAACATTATGGTAAACCCCTGGCTTGCACAGGAGAAGGGTCCCTGAAATGAAGCGTGGAGACGGCCATGATTCATGTCTCTTTCGCAGATGGCCACCGATTTCGTCCCAACGCGTTCGCGCACGAAACGTTCGCGACACCTGTGGTCTCCGAGGTCCATCCTCCATAGCTTCGAATCGTGCAGCGTTTGGGACCTCGGTGACCTGGATGACGGCCGGTCGATCTAACAGACGGACGTGTTCTCGACGGCTCTTTGTAGTAACGGAATGTATGCGAGAAAATGGCATGTTTCAAAGAACTGTTGCCAGTGGTTAATGCTAACTTTAATTATCTATAGTGCTGAAAGGGGTATAATAATTAGGTCAGTGTTCGAGTTGTTTTTGAAAGACAAATTGGTCACTTCCCCAAAGGGCGAGTCATGATCTCGGTGGAAGCTCCTCGCGGGGAAAATCCCAGGATCCTTTGGATTGGAAGCTGGGCACGCACGGGGTCACCATCGCCTTCACGGTGCCGCGTCGGCCGAAGAGTGGGGCGTCCAACCGAAGAGAAGAGTCGCGGTTGGCCTTGGGAGAAGACGCGTGACTTCGCTTTTCGTTCGAAGCGTGACAAGCATGACTAGCTTCCAAATATGCTTCCGTGACGCAATCTATAATATGTGCCAGGTGGAAGTTCCCAACAGTTCCAAGAAATTTTGAGTTGTAGGCAGTCTGAAAGGCTTTGCATTGCCCGATCCGGACATGCGTGTTCAGACCGAGTGATGAACATCGCCAGGCTGCCCTTTGCAGCTTTTGCCCTTGCGGCACTTGTAGATATACTGCTGGGCTGCTCAGGGCTAGGCATCATGGCCAATACTTGTTCGTCAAGAAGCGAGTGCAACATAACATTACTACAGTATATATAGTGCAACCATTTTCGCCAGGATTGCTCAAGCGAGCTAGAGCAATCCTCAACCGGTTGGACAAGGGAGAGCCATTGGAAGGACAACGATGTGCGTTTGCCAGCGTTTGCTTGTCCCTGGTTCAGCACTTGACCTCACCGGAGGATAGTTGCCGGCAAGTTCCAAGAAAGTACGTGTATCAATGACATGAAAGGGATGGAAGTGACAGTGAAGGAAGGATCTACTGCACAATAAGTTGATGGAATCGATGGAAGAGTTCCAAGGAGAACCTGGATATTGGGTGCTGCAGTCTCAAACGTGTGTAGTGTCGTCCATTGGAAATCCCTGGGATGGTCCTGCTAATGTCTCAAGCGCTCGAGAATCCATGTGCACTGGAGTGGGCAGTTTGTTCAACTAGGCCACCTTGCTGCCGGAAGTGATCTCCGAGGAAGGGATGTCACAAGAGGCACTTCCGACCGATGTTGGGTGCGCCAGGGTCAGGAGCGGCGGCCATTGCAGGGGTTATATAATAGTTGTATACGGCCTGTGGTTGCTTGGGCATGTAGCTCGGTTCCCGAGGGGCCCAATCAGCCTGGGATGTTCGACGTGGATCAGTGGATGATCAAAGGGCGGTACTGCAGATTACAGATCATCTGGGTGGCCCACCTTAAACCACCTTGACTCGACATTTTGTAGATGTCCACAAAAGGCAAGGTCCACCCAGATGATGTCGACGAATCACTTGCCCAACATGACCTCGAAGTCTTCTTAACCCTCTTGGTTTGGCTGTTGAATTCATTATTAGAAAAACCATTTGGGTCCATTTGGTGGTAGGCTTCAGAGGAGCTTTGGGATTATTATGTTCTTGTATAGGTGTGCTTTAGAATTGTGGTCAGTGTGTTGTTCATCAGCGGAGGTTTTGGAGGTATTTAGACTCAGCTGCGATCACAGGGTTTAGGGCCATACACCATGTGGTGTCCACGCATAACATAGGTCTGCTCCCGGAGTTTGCATGTCTCATTGGAATGATGACCTCGGTACTTGAGATGTTTATTCTGCTTGAACGCCGACAAACCTATGTCACGAGAAATTCAGGACACGAGCTGTTTTCACAGGTGAAGAGCTACTTTTGTCCCTAGAATTTCAGACATGAACTGAGTACTGCATTGCACTACCACGCACTACCAACTGAGACTACACTAGCTGCTGAAAGACCCAACCAAGTGCCACCAAGTGCGGCCGCCAGGATGTGTCCCTTCTCCGCCGTCCGTTAAGAATTGAGCTGAGAGAATCTTTGTTTTAAGTATGGACGGTATGGATGCTGAGAACGGGACCCCCCACCCGCAGGGCCCGCAGCCGCAGCCCCATGTCCAGTCGTCCACTTCGTGCAGGCAGTTTTGGAGAAATTGGTGCATAAGGCGGGCTACAGGAGACATTGCCTGACCCCTAGAAAGGCAAATTGCCTTTAGTTGTTGCCCCATGACCGCTCCCGGCATACAGAGGTACACTGCAGATTTAATCTATATTAAACAAAGGCCGTCACATGCCCCAATGGACTTATATATGTCATGGCAACTTCCATGCTTTGCCCCTTCACTTCATGCAATACCCGGCGACCTGTAACAACCCCTTGACACCTCAACCATAGGAGCGGAAGCCGCTCGCTGGAGCCTGCCAGACTGAGGTAGCCCCAAGATGATGAGATCTTTAGTCTGGACCTCAGCGATACGAGGTCCCAGCCAGGAAGGACGGATTTGTAGGTGATGTCGATCCTAATGTCCGCTTTGTGGTCAATGACAAGTTTATTAACATGGCACACCCAAAATCAATACAATTCAACTATATATCTTTGCCAATGCACCTAGAATACAGTTGCTAAGCTGATGGAATTTTGCAATTTCCGCTGAATTCAGCTCAGCGTTTCCAGTCCTGTCATGACCAGGCCAGGTGCATGTTATGCCCACTGCCCACTGTAGTGAATTTTGCCGCTTGTTTTTGTAGACGAATCCCAAGTCTGAGAAGGGTTAAACCATTATATAAGCCAGCTTCTGAAACCGGGAACGACCCTCCAGGCGAATGCAAAGAAGCCCAGTGGGACCAAGTGTTCCTAGCAACTCAGCGGGTCCCAGATCTCAGGTCAGGTGAGCGATGGCCCCAGGAAAACTGATCAAGACGTGACCATGGCAGTAGGAAGTCGAACACCAGAGCCACCAGAGCCACCGCTCCGCCCTGGCTCGCCCTGGCTGTTTGAGCACTTCGCCCTGTTTGACAGCACTTCTTCGCTCCAAGGAGGTGACTCGATTCCAGCCAGGGAGCCCTGATTTTGGCAAGTTGGAACTCCTGCGGGTCTCCTCTTGGATGGGTTCTACATGGTTTAACCAGATTGGCTCAACTAACTAGTGGCAAATGTGCCATGAACTCACATAGAAGCAGGCAAAACTGTAGAACGAAGCCTAGCAGAGGAAGTCCTCATCAATTACTATAATATGATCTATATGTCCATTTGTTTTCGCTAAGGTAGCGGAACTTACAGTAGATTCGCATCAGTTGTGAATAGTTGTGATTTTGCATATGTCTCGATCCATTTCCAATGGGGTTCTGTCTCGTGGCACATGGTGTACAATGGGGGCCTTATTACTTTATTTCTATGCCACCTACAATAGCAAGAATTGAATGAAAGTCATTGATTCCATGTTTGTGTTGACTGACTCATGACTTATGACACACTGGTTCAGCAAATCTTTTGGTTTCGCCAAGACGGGGATCGAACAGAATCCATGGCACAAGATTTGTTTGCACCGACACCCATGACACCCATCATCATGAGATGCAAGCATGAAAACCACTCAGTGTTCAGCCTGGGAAAATACATATTGCCTCCGCATGAAGTTGCTTGAAGCCTCAATTTGTGCTTTGCAGGGCACGTTGAAAGTGAAGGAACCAACTACGGAGTGTCCTATTCCCGTCTTGATTTGACTTCCTTCTTCAAAAAGGAAACGGTGGCCTAGCTGAGTCTATATACTCCCTTCAACCGCCAGGTCCACGGTATGCAATCTGGACTTTCAGACCTTTGCACTCAAGCAGGACCGGGCGGAGCTCGCGGCGGAGCTCGTGGGACCTCGGTGTTCGAACCTCAAGATATCCTGTTCGGACGCTGAGGTCGTACCTCCGAAACGGAGGACCATTGTTGGACCCTCTAAACCAACCCCTCAGCACTTTCTCAGGGTTCTTGCATTTGACCCTATGCCACCGACCGACCGAAAGATGTCTTTTGAGGCTGGCTTGGTCCAAAGGTGGCCAGATTTGCAATGGCTTCCCAGGTGGGTGCGTGCCGCACTGTCAGGAAGCCCTCAGCTGAGCGCCTTCGTCAGACCGCGCAGGCGATAGGCGCCGCGTAGGTGATTCGGAGGCCAGGCGATGAGGAGGTCGCGCGTACACAGCGTGCAGTGCAGGTGATTAAGCGAATTGGCAGAGGTCTGCGCAATGAACAAAGGTTTCATGCAAGACTTGCCTTAAAGCATCGATGTGGCCACGACCGGAGGGAAGGCATGGGGGTTTTGATATGTTTTATGATGAGATGCTAACATTTTGATCATTTTGGCAACTATCCACTGCAATTCTAGGGAATTTCATTAATGAATATAACTTCATATATTCTGTATGTATACTTGTAACAGTTCAAGCAGCTTAGATTTGTTTGAGTTTACCCTCGTTCTCATGGCCGCGGCGATTGCATTAGGTGAAGTGACTGTACATAGAGAAGTCTCCCAGCCATCGGCTTGTGTGGCCATTTTCCACCGCTTGTCGCGATCCATGGCATGGTTGATCCAAAGTCGTATCTTGGACCTGCAGCACAGCTTTCGTCTTCCAGATGCTTCTTTTAGTATTCTTTAGTGGGAATGCATCCCAAAATGCCTCCGCTCGGAATGCCTACTCACTGAATTCCCAGCCGTCCAGCTGGCTGCTCATTTTCCCACCTGATCCGCAGGGACTTCACTGTTGTCCTTCACTTCCCACTGCACTCGCCTCAATGATGGAGACACCGATGTTTTTGACCCAAGTTTCCAGGGTCGCATGTCATGACCGCCGCCGCAGCATTTGGCTTCAAAGAGACCCAAGTGCTGCGGCGCAATCCGCCGGACTCTACTTCCCATAAACCCATTTGGCCATGGAAGCGATGCCGAAGCGAGTCAGAGGCCGAAAAGCAAGGCAAATCCAACAATCAACTCGGGGAGGGCCTCACACAAGGAACACCTGTATAGAAAGGTGAGCTGAAAGCAAAAGTTCACCCCAACATAGACATAGAAATGGATCAAACCTTCTCGGCCCTTTGCTTGGCTGTCACCTGTCTTCAGCTTCCCACGGTGCCAGTGTGCCGGCCAGGGGGGCCCAATTTTTTGCGATGCGACGGAATCAGCTGCATGTTGGAGCAGGGTAAGGGCGGTGGCTGGGTCAAAACGTCAAGTAGTGCTGTGAGGGTTTGCAAAAGCTGTAGCGACTGAGGGGCATCATCCGATGAAAACAAGTAATTTAAAACATACGCATGAATTCAATGATTGTCTCAGAGACATTTGGAGATCATGACTTGAGCGATTTGCACCGCGTTTCTCGCCACTCGGAGTCTGAACCAAAACCCTTCGATAGGAAGGTCCTTCCAGTGTAAAAGACGAGATTTGTACATGACTGGCATGGATCGAAGCATTTTGGAAGCAATTTTCCGAAGCATGTTCCGAACTGCATTTCCACGACTCTATCCGACAAAGCTGGGTGAATGGTTGAGGATGACATAGATGGACATATTGTTGTGGTAGCGTGCTTGTGTGAGGGATGTCCACAACCTAGCGATAACTTGCATTAAGAGTTATATAACATGTGTTGCCATCTAGTGTTCACAAGGAGTTAGAATTTGCACAGGGCTTGAAAACGAGGCCACAAAAACAACGCCTCTTCCTGGGACTCCCTTTTGATTGCCTTGTCTTCAGGGTTTTGAGGGTTCAAAATGGAGTGACTTTAGAACGAAGTCACAAACAAATCCAAAGCATACAAAGAAATGGCTTTAGCAGACTCTGGACCAAGCGCCCAGTTTGTGATAGAAAGGCCGCATTGTTGGAGTGGCACCGTGTTTCACATTGACAAGTACAGTGATAATCAAATTCAGCTTGTGAACAACCAGGGCAGAGTAGCCTGGTTGGTGCCAATCCTCGGAAAGCTGGAAACCCAAACACCAAGCCTCAAAAGATACTGTAAGACCAAGTTTTGAACGTTCATGTTCAGACCTGCTCGCTTTGTGATAGTTTTTGTTTTATCAATGTTTATCCGAAAGGCTGTGTCCCTGCACACATACCATATTGCCATATTATGTGCATAGTGGTTGTGCAATGCCTCTGGGGAATCAATTGACATGTGGAATGATATGGAGTGTGTATATTCGGCTGATTGGCGAGGTAGAGAGAGAGAGGTGGGTTCACTGAAGGGTGTCAGATTGTACAGGAGCCACAGTGATGAAACAGCCACACGGATACCTGAGGCGGTGCTCTACACTCTACAGGTGACACCTCCATAATGGTTGAGATGCAACAAATAAACTCCGGACCAGTGATGCTTTTGGGCACATTTGGCGCAGACATCATCCAGCTGCATGCGGTTGATTGACAACACTTCTGAGACCCTCAGGAGCCAGCTGCGAAACCAGGTCATGTGTCAGAGAGGAGCAGGAGTGGTAGGAGTAACAGGAGTAGGGGTCACAGGAACAGGAGGACGATGACCAGGAGCAGTTGCAGCAGAAGCAGTTAGGAAGAGGAGCAGGTGTAGGAGCAGGAGCAGCAGCAGCTGCAGCAGCAAGTAGTAGTAGTAGTAGTAGTAGTCGTCGTCGTCGTTGTCGTCGTCGTCGTCGTCGTGGTAGTAGTAGTAGCAGCAGGAGTAGTAGTAGTAGTAGTAATACTGTAGTAGTAGTAGTAGTAGTAGTAGTAGTAGTAGTAGTAGAACTGTAGTAGTGGTAGTAGTAGTAGTAGCAGCAGCAGCAGCAGTCCTCGCCATAATGGCAGTGGTAGTGGCGGTGGTCGCTGCGGCAGCCGCAGCAGTAGCAGTACGGTGGTGGTGGTGGTAATAGTAGCACTGACGGGTGGCAGTGGTAGTGGTAGTGGTGGTAGTGTAGTAGATGCAGTTGTAGTTGTAGGTAGTAGGAGTAGTAGTAGCCGTCGTCGAAGCAGTAGTAGTAGTAGCAGTAGTGGTGGTGGTGGTGGTCGTGGTAGTAGTTGTGGTTGTTAGTGGCAGTTAGTAGTAGTTAGTAATTACCTAGTAGTTAGCAGTAGGGGTCATAGTAGTCGTAGTAGTAGTAGTAGTAGCAGTAGTGGCAATAGCAGCAGTAGTACGTAGTAGTAGTAGTAGCAGCAGTAGCACCAGCACCAGCACCAGCACCAGTACCAGTACCAGTACTACTAGCAGTATTCCTACAGCAGTCGTAGCAGTAGTACTAGTAGGAATAGGAGTAGGAGTAGTAGTCGCCGTGGTAGTGGTGGTGGTGGTGGTAGTATAGCAATACAGTTATTTTCGTAGTAGACTAGTATAGGACAATACCGTACAGAAAATGTAGTATAATGTTGTACAACAACAACTACTACTACTGCTGCTACTACTACTACCACTACTGCTACTACTACTACTGCTACTACTACCACTACCAATACGATTACGACTACGACTACTACTATTACTACGACTACTACGACGACGACGACGACTACTACTACTAGTACTACTAGTACTACTAGTACTACTAGTACTACTACTACTACTACTACTACTACTACTACTACTACTACTACTA